TAAAGATAATCCTTAATTAGTGCCACAGTGGGGAAATCAAGGGTACAAGGATTTGGCCACTATAATAATATGAAAACATGGTTTGAGAAGCTGCAATTATTGTGGTACTGAAAATGGACAGACACAGCACAACCCCAGTCACTACTTTCACCTAATTTTCAATTTCCATCTTAGTGTGACAAAATGTTGCATCATAACAATTAGCTTTTCGAGCTGCTACTGTATGAAGGGCCGTGTAACATCTCCAACCTGTGTCGACCCTCGGGGCAAAGACATGTGGAGTCCGTAGCAGCGGCAGTTGTTTGTTTAGCTGCGTATTTCAGCAAGCCATTAATACTGAGACCTAATAGTGCTGTCAGAAGCATTAACACACATGGGAGCAATTTCCTTAACACAGATTACACATGGATTTAGACGAGCAAAGTGGTGCTTCCTGGACATGGATTTAACCTGGACTTAAAATCTTAGGAGGTGTGTCGCACCTTTTAGGGGAAACACAGATAATAAATGTAGTGAAAGTGATTTTGTAAATTCCCAGTAGATTTATTTTTAATGCGCCTTTATCAGGAACACTTTAGGAAGACTCTGAAGAACGACTGATGGTAAATTAAGGACATTTTAATAGCTTCTGTAATTAGTTTATTTTAAATCTCACAGTTTTGTCAAATGCACGTTCCCATTATCTTTGAGTTTGAAATCGAGCTAAACAACATGAGTAAAAATCATAATCATTTTCTGAATGGACATTTTGATTATTATAATATTGTAATTGAATTTTCAGTCAGAAGAGAAAGCGATTGGGAAATTTACTTAAGGTCACTGTTATGCTCTATTGATCGAAAAAAACAAAACAAAAAGAAAAACACAAAAGAGTCTGAAACACTGGTGTTTAGGTTTTTCATTTCAATACTCACCAATCATACATCCTTTACACAGCAGGGGCAGTGCTGCTGATAGAACGTGATACTGTCCATCTGGACCTGCACTACAACTCGGGATCCAAGTCTTCCACAGACGTAGCACAGCGCCATCACCCTGCTGACTGGAGCAACTTCAGGTTTGATTTTGGAAATAATCTTTTTGTCCTTTTAAAACAAATCCTTGTATATTTTGGCAGGTGAGTGGTGTCGAGGGTTTTGAGTCTCCGCTGCGATCCTGAGTGACAATGGGACAGTTTCTTGCCTGATTGTTTTCCTAAGCAATCATTGATTTTATTTTTGGTAGTGAATCTCATACTGAGCTGTTTTCATTTTAGTTTCCAGTTTGACACCTGCAAAATCCTCCTCCTTAATATTGTAGCATGACTCAAAACACTACCTTTCTCGCTTGGCTGCGAGTGCATCAGAACGGCAGATGCATACTGTTATCCTGACCAGCGATATCTGGTGTTCACACAGCAGCTGGATTTCATAGGACATTTTGTAAACCCCCACGGGTTTCTGTAGCAGAGCAGAATTCAGCACAGTGGGCAGCACGCTCAGATATAGTGGTACAGGAGGAGTACATTTGTGCACCAAATTCTTCCCAGATGTGCCGTCATGAGACTCTTATGAGATTAGATGCATTCCTTTTCAAGCGCCACACAGGTATAAAGTAGTTTTGTCCTATAGGAAGCCATCTTCACTTTTTGCACTTTGTGTAGGGGATTAATAATTCAGGAATAATGTTGATCTTTTTTCAGTCAACATTAAGATTTGTGGATTTAAATCGATATATTTGAGTTTGTAAAATTTGGTACCGCTTATTTGAATTATTTGAATGGGCCTTGTCGGAGGTGAGACAGTCATATATGTTTTTTTCAAATTGGTGGTGAAAGGGTTTTATTTCATTACACAGAGAATCATATTTTCCCTACTATCAGTGTAAGAGGAGAGATTTTTTCTCTCTGCATTGGTGCGTCAGTGACTTTGTCGGGTGTTCTGGTGCGTGATGAAATATGTGAAATGTTGACGGAGAGACTGTGAGAAACGTAACAGACAGAGAGACAAAAACACATGTACTGTGTGATTGTCTCTGAGCCAGTGAATGAAATATACAGCCTAAAGAGTGTGCATGTATGTGTGTGTGTGTGTGTGTGTGTGTGTGTGTGTGTCCTGGCACGTGTGAGGTGGTGTGTGGGCGTCGAGAGGGAAAGCTCATAAAACCCATGATCACACTGATGAGGTCACAGGGAGTGAAACCAGAGAAAGCCTTTCATTTCCTGTCTCATTCCATCCCTCGCTCCCTCTCTCTCTCCTACTTCCATTCATCCGTCTCTCCTCTGACCTCCTGCATATTCTATACTCCTGCTTTTCTCCTGTGACACCAAATTCCAAAGTCTTTCTAACCGTCTGTTCTGGAAATTTTCAATGTGTGCCACCCAACACTGGAAAACTCAGCGTACAAAAGAGATTTGTTTTTTAAAACAACCAATGTTGAACCTTTAACAAATCAGACAATAGAAATTTGTCTTTCACAATAAAAGTCCTCTCGCTTGTCCTAAAACTCAGAGCGTTTATTAGTTACTATGGGTATTATTATCTTGTAGTCATAATAATAGAGATGTAAACAACTAAAGCTAAAACCTCAATCAACCACCAGATTATTTTGCTGGTTAAAATGTTTGGTCTTTAAATAGTCAGAAAATGCTTTTCACAATAAATCCAGAAAACTACAGTCTTCAACTGTCTTGTTATGTCCAACCAAAAGCAAAATACCTGAGGACACTACCACTCCTATGAAACACAGAAAATCTTCACCAATAATGAGCTGCAGCACCAATGTGATTTTTGGAATCACGTTTCAATGTACGTAGAAACCCTTGACTCACAAATACAGCTGTATTTCTTTCCGTTTTTTCCCCTCCTCTAAAAAGTTATTTCCAGGCAACATAACCACACACACTCTACTTGATTCATGTGAAGGGCATCAGAGCGGCACACAGAAACAGATGTTTGAAACGCAAACTGCAAGTTCGTCAGCACTGCAGGAAAACATAAAATAAGTTAAACAAGTAGATGAAGTAAAAGAAACTATCTGAAAGCACACATTTATTTCAGGTGGCCTGCACTGCAAAGCTTTGTGTAGGTACACACACAAGATTACAGAATAGTGTAAATCAATAGAGGGTTGGTTGTTGATTTCATGGAAGCTGCAGACAGTTTGACAACCATTGGGTTTGGCCAAAGTGAAATGCAGATTTGAGCCCGTCATCAAATGCTGAAAGTTGATGTGAGCACAATCTTGTGCAGCACTGTTGTTATAAATGTGTAAAGAACCAATACAATTTTTAGATACTATAGTATATCGTAGTAGCAGACGCAGCCCAGTGACAAGCACTGCAGCCTTCAGCGGTTGTTGAGTGTTACTCTTGTTTTTTTGACAGGCGGTCGGAGAAATCACAGATCAACAGAGAAAGATATATTCTCCACTCAACGCTGGCTTGGCAGGACACGCTTACTAGCTGTGAGAGCCATTCCCTCTGCTACTGTGTGGAAAAAAGTTAAGATGACTTTGTATCCACCTGCGTCTCCGTGGCTGGATCCCGGCGCAAAGAAGAAGATGAAGGAACAGAGCCCTGCATGACCACTCAGGATATTTTTCTTCGCTAACTTGACTTCTAACAGCCTGGGGACTTATGGAACAACAGCTGGCCAGATGTCTCATGAGTGAGTCTGTGACATTCATTTAGTAGCTTGCTTACCACCAATTTCCTTCACATTTCTCGAAAACCTCACGGCGCACCTGATCTCAATCCATAACACAACAGCAGAGAAACGGTGCAGCAGAGGACAACAGAGAACTACACCCGCAGCCGCTCTGCTTCTTATCACAGGCTCATTACTGGTCAGTGTTTGACAAAAACTCCAAGGGGCAGCAGTCGCTGGCTGCCAGATTGCCTCTCCCGTCCGTGCGCTCACGTTTAGAAGAGGGAGGAAAATTAAAGGTGGGAAAAACAGGAATGATGCTGAGGGAAGCTGTGTTTACTTGGACAAATCTGTGTGTTCCCGAAGAAAAGAAACCACTGGAAACATGAAAAAAAACAAGAGACGATGCCAAACTACGATGCATGAGATCAAAAGAAATAAGAGACAACAAAATGACAAAGGGAGTTAGCATCAGATAAAATCAGGCACCTTGATTACAAGATGAAATTCCTTTTTCTGAAAAATGACTACGTAGAGAAAGACAATGAAATAGAGGATGTGATTGAGTCTGTGTGTGTGTGTCTGTGTGTAGTTTTCTCAGATCATCTCTAAGCAAACTGCCACTTCTGATTAATCTCGGTTGAAAATCTCTGTTTGTGTCTACAATATATTCCATTTGTTTCCCCAAGGGGAGATACCAAAGCAGCAGCACAAGCAGTGATTAGGTATTCTGCATTCAGTATAAGGTTTAGCACAGGGGACCTCGGGCCTTCTCGGAACCATATTTTATGTTTTTTATTTATCTATTTTTATTTATTCCAGTTTCATGAGCACAAACAGATTGGATAATGTGGATGGGGAGTCTGGGATTAATTTTGAAGCAGCTGATTAGAGTGCATTTGTGTGTGTGTGTGTGTGTGTGTGTGTGTGTCCTGGGCTAATTGTGTCTGGGACCATGCCGAAAAAGCCTGGAGGCTTTGCAGCAGTCTGGAAGATAGAAACACACACTCCTCCTCCTCCTCCTCCTCCTCTCCCCATCTCTGTGTATCCCCCCTACAGCCCACTCAATCTGTTTTTTCACATCTTCCTGATGTCTGCAAGAAAAACTTCACTTGTGTTTTCTCCCCTCTCTCCAGCACTTCACTAATCCGCTGTTGGTTCGACCACCGTTACTTATTTCCCTTATTTCGTTCCATCCTCCATCTTTTTCATAAAACTCCACCCATTCTCTCCATTGTTAATTAAATCACAACACTGAGTACAAAAGAAAAATAATAAAAGTAGGTATATAAGAAAGTGATTCATATGTTGAGTCGTTCGAATGTTTTGTTCAAGTTTCCACAATGACTGTGACATCTGCTTTGAATAACAAGACTCAAAATGTGTCTTTTTAATGAACCGTTAACAGAACAAAACAAAATTCTTCTTGATCTATTAAAGCATGTAATAACGTCTACATACCATTTATTTTTGAAAAAATTATCAACTTTGAAGTTATTAGCACTGTTCTGCTAAAGTGCAAAATTAAATGGGTTTCATGGCATCTCAGCCTATTACACTGATCTGACCGACAGTGTGTGGACAGCTACCAGGACATTAGCCCTAAATTAAAGAATAAAGTTTAGTGTTAAATATCATAAAACAGTACATCACAAATGCACAGGTAGTAACTGAGAAAGAATGCAACCTGAGGAAATAACTTCAGGTTTCCAAGCCATGAACATGGCAACTGTTACTACTGTTTGAATTGAACTTAGAAACAGTCTTTAAATGAACCATTTTGCATAAAAAATGCAAAAACTGCAGAATGATTATTGTCAGAACCAAAAATAACTGTCACTGTCATGGTCACTGTAATCATCATGAAGTCATTTGCTTTGCAGGTCCTTGTGTAATTCCCAGTCAAAAGTCAAATGCAGCTACATAATGTTAATGATGCATATGAATTTATTTATTCTAGGACCCTGATCAGGTCCAGGCCGATCCGTCCCCTCTGAGGGTCCACATCCAGGACCCGGACCTCCACCCGCTCTCCAGGTCCCAGAGCAAGGCTGCGGCGGCGCTGGCTGAGAGGCACCTTGTCCAGCGTGATGTTGCTCTTATGGATGAGGCCTGGGCGACCCACGCCAATATCTACAAAAGCCCCGAATAGAGCAGTGTTGTCCACTCGGCCCGTCAGCACCGCACCCACCCGCAGATCACTCATCGACACAATGCCCCTCTTAAAGTCCGCCTGCCCAAAATCTGGCAAAGAGAGACATCAAGAGAGAGAGTATCAAAAAGATGAGGGGGCTAGATGACACTGAGGCAGGAAGACCTATGACTAATTCAAGTATGAGCTGCAGCTTGCAGAAATGTTTGGGAAGAGAAACGGGAAATGTGGACGCACGAAAGTGGGGTGGGGGCGGGGGGGGATAGAAATGACAAACAGGTATAACATTTCAGGCGGTAACCAAATACTTGTGTCTACATACTTCTACGTTTCTCTGCATTCTCTCCTACCCTACTTTCCACTGGGCCCGCGCATGAGAGAACTTTTTCCTCTCTGTAGCATTAACACAAACAAGGAAGGCTCGCGCCCCAGGAAATAGTCCGGTCCAATTATCCTCCCCACAGCACTGATTTCATGCGGTAGTCTCGGCCCATCTGTTTACTCAGCTGAGCACCGGCTCGGAGGCCAAGCATAGTGTGCTGCAACCGAATAGGGCCAACCTGAGAATGAACCTCGAAGCTGCGTTCCTTAATTTTAAAAGGAGTTCGCTCGCACTCACTTGGTATCCAGGCTGTACTTTGTTCCTCTCCATATGAAACTGTGTGGAAACGGATAACACCTGATTCGCAACAGTATTTTTCCACTTTCCGTTTTTGACTTAAATGAAAAAATGTAAAACGGCCCTGTTCTATATAGATTAAGTCATTCTTAAAATTATACTTTGAGAATCAGTGAGTACACAAGTGCACGTATAGAGTTATAGTGACTAACTAAAAGTTTCTTATTTTCTTCTCACATATTTTCATCACCCTCTCAGTGTCTTGTTTGTCAGACTTTTTGCATATAGCACCATTACTGTCAGACTTTTACTTTTACATCCTATTAAGATAAAATAAGCTTGTTGAATATAGCATACTGTATATTATACAATACATGGCTCTAAGCTAAATGCTTTTATATATTTTTTTTTTCCAGAAAGTAGACAGGGAAGAGAAAACAGAGTGAGGGATGTGACAACAAATTTCAGAAAAAGAACCTGAGGCACAGCAACACCGCTGAAAATTGAAATGTTTGTGACTGTTTATGATTTTATTGCTATATTTATGTGTGCCCGGACTCAGGAGCATGTGATTAAGGAGAAAAACAGAGGTCTTTTGTGTATTTGTGTCTCTGTAAAGATATTCTGTCCAACAACGCTGTCTGCTGGACCCATCACACCCTGTCAGAAACACACTGCTGGTGTTGTCGGGCCACGGGGAGGAAGCCGCAGCACTGTCAGTTCCTATCAAGTTACACTGCCAAGATGTGCCTATTATAAGACAGGCACAAGGCGAGTCAGTGTGTGTGTTGTAACTAGCAAACCACTCAGATACAAGTTTCTATCAGTCAGCAGGGACCTGCAAAGAACATTATGTCGGAAAGACGAGAGACTAAGAGAAGTTACTGTGGCTGCTAGGTTGCTTTCACTTTATGAGTGTCTATGAAATTTTATATGATGAAAAACACTGATAGTTTGAATGTGCAGAAGCAGAAAGCAACGTTGTTAAACTCTTCTCACAATCTCGTATATCAAACCATTACAAGACAATGTTACGTTAATGTTGAGTTTTCATCGGCGAATATGTTTGTTTTTTTCTCAAATGTTCATTATGTTCTTGTTTTTGTTTCTGTGTCACATAAAATGAGTTGAGGTCAGTTTTTGAGTGCTGCTGTGAATGACAGGAGTCTTACTTTGTCGTATGTCAAACCCAGGGGGCTGCGTGAGGCCGTCGATGATGAGTTTGAGGGTCTCAGGTGTGGTGTCCAGTGTCCAGGCCAGTTCCTCGACACTGCTGGTCCTAACCTTGCTCTCCAAACACTGTCGCAGGCCTGCGGTGCCAATCTGGTCTGCGCTGCCGCCCACAAAGGACAGAAATCTACAGAGAGGGATGATAGGTGTGAAAATTATACTTTCAAATCCACACTAAAAAAAAACACTTTAATTGTTTTTGGGGGCTACGGCATGTGCACCACATCTTTAAAGCATGCTTCATATAGTTTCTACATCAGCCAGTCCACAGTGGATGGTCCAGATACATTATGATTATATTGTTTAACACTTTGCCTGGAATATGGGCTCGGGTACGCATTCGTGGAATGCCATACCATCGCAGATCCTCATTTTAGTATAAATGGAACAGCAGGCATGAACGTACAAATGGAATGAGTACGCAACTCTCAGCTGACACACAACTCGGAAAGTATGGTCAACCCTCTACACTCTGCGGGAGAGAACTGGGCCTATGGGGGGTGTAGTCAGAGAAGGAAGGGGGAAGGGTATAAGGAAGGCGGAAAGTGATGACAGACTAAGAAGAATTATGAGGAAAAGAATAGTAGAAGAGTCCAAAAAAAGAAGAGGAGAGAAAAGCTAAGTAATAGGAAAGAGGGAAAGAAAAGTTAATGCAGGTAAAGTGAGAGGGGAGGGAGGGAGAGGTGTGAGAGTAATTACACACAATGTCAGGAGCTGCAGAGACCTGGCTTTCTGTTCTGAAAAACACACGGGCCAAAATACCCACATTTATTTTTACCCCCTAGTAAATCAGATAAATCCACAGTGGGCTGTAAACGCCCCAACACCTTGTCTCAGGAAAGTGCCTCCACTTTGCTGAGGTTGGACTGTTTGTCTGTCCGTCAACCGCTAGGAAAAAATCTCCTTACATTACTTTATTCTAGCAGGATGTTCCACCTCCATAATGTCTAGACGGTCAGTCAGGCTGCACCACTTAAAATTCACTGAGCCCGAGAATTAAATCCAAACTAATTAGCTGGTGGACAATCAAAACAGACTTGGTAATAAACTGGCAAGGGAGCCAGAGTTGCAAATATGGAAAAATGTAGGATGTGTGTTGAGTGCGTGTGTAATGTGCACTCTGTATAAATTATTTACAGTAGGCACTTTCCAGAGTTGGTGATAGATGTGATTGCATTTGCTTCTATGCATGCATTCATATGCACACCAGCTGGGTAGCGACCGTGATGGATGTCGCTCACTGGCAGCTTGACGCCAAGCAGACTCCGCAGCTGTCCCCCCCACCCCATGATGGACAGAACAGGTGGACACACACACAGGAACCTACACACAAAGTTGATTCATACAATGTGTTGTTCGGAGATGCTTATTTGGCAGTAGCTGGGACAGTGCGGATGTAACGCGACACGGCTTGTGTACAAACTATGTATGAGACAGCTGTGAGCGGAGAGGCCCCCTGCCAGCGAGGTTACCATCTCGCGTCGAGGAGAAGGAGACAAACAGAATCAATCCCTCAACACCAGCGAGTCAGATCGGTACAAAATAGTAGCTAAGTATGTGCCAGAAATGGCTCAGTAGTGAAGAAACAACACCTTTGGACCAAAATGGACGTCTGTCTAACACAAGGATCTTCCCTCCTGTGTCTCCCTGCAGGCTTCTCAGCTTTCCAACCAAATATATCTCTTTACAGGGAAAGAAATATTTGTGCCTTGGTGGCCTGGAGGTCTGAGACAGAAACCACATAACTCCTCTAAGTTTGTATCCAGCCTTGGACCTTTGTTTACAGTCATCCCTCTTCCTTTCTCTGACACTAAATATTTCCTGTCTCTCTACTTTCTCAAAAACTTGTAATATATATATTTACACACATAAATAAAATAAAGCTTGGAGATAGGAGGTTTAATATCACTAGCGTATAACATGTACTTCAGGAGGGTATTTTTCCTTCTACCAAGGTACAACAGACTTCAAGTTTATTTCTTAAATCGATAGACTTATCATACTACTGGAAATTTAGCAACTGTGTCTCGCAACAGGTTAAAATATTGTTAATATATGTTGAGGCAGAGAGTCTGGCTCTAAATCTTACAATGCTTTGTGGATGGTGGGTTATATTTTCAGGTGTGTGTGTGTGTGTGTGTGTGTGTGTGTGTGTGTGTGTGTGTGTGTGTGTTGCCCATCTCATTTTTCAGGACTGTATGTTAGTATTTAAGGGGTACCAGGGGTCTAGGGGCCCACACCACTGCTGGGTTCATACTCATATAATTATGACCAACACTGAGTGTGTACGTGTGTGTGTATGTGTGAATATGGGGTTGGGTGGGCTAGGATATAGATTTTATCCAGGCCCACATCAAGAACCTATCTAAATTGTATTATAAAGATATTGGGCCCCAACTGTTACATATCAGGGAAATATTCATCATGAGTGGACCCCCAGAGTAATACAATACACTTCATTGATATTTTGATGTGAAATATTCTGGATTGTGTTCCTCTGATTATTAACATTCTTTACAGAACATTTTCACTGTTAGATGTTGCAGATATGTTAAATTTAATCAAACAAATCATACCAGATCTGAAACAAAGGGGGACAAACTGTGCCTATGCCTTTGTTTCCCTGCTTGTGTGTGTGTGTGTGAGTGTGTGTGTG